TATAATGTTTTCTGATAATCTGCCAAATTTCATTCGTGTTTGCTTACTAATTTAAAAGTTATAGCATGAAAACTATAACAAGCACAAAATGGTTACAAGGTTGGTCCCAGGGACCGAGCCTGTACTGAAAATTTGATCATTCATTTATTATTGAAACACAAAGTTTAAATATGATTGAATAGAACAAGAATTACACTACCATGCAATGCTCTTTTTGCTTGTCAGTTTTGAAAGTATGTATGTGTTTAATTATGTTTGAAAGCTACAGAAAGTTTCTCAGATGAGAAGAGACCAGATAAGGTAATGGGAACAAAGAAAACTTTGTAACTAGTTTAACACAGTTACAAATATACAATGTTTGGAGAACGTTTTGTTGTAGTCAGATATAATTAGTTTACCTAGACACAGGAATATGTATACTGGAGATTGTTTAATGGCTTAGTAAAGGCATCTGGGCACCTCATAGTACTGGTTTAGAGGAAGAGCTATGGTGTTAAATTAAGTCTTAAGACAACTTATTTGATTTAACATTTGTTAATTTTTAGTTTTTGTTGAAATTTACAGTTTTTTGTAATTGATAAACTATGTTTGTAAACATGAGGGATTTTTATTTCATTCACCAAAAATCAAATTGTCTTTAAATCAAATAAGTTTAGTTAGATTTAAAGTGTACTGAAGGTGATGGCAAACACTTTTGATGATTCAAGTTCTTACTTATTAAATATTTAGCCTATTCAAACAACATGTATAAATAAATTTGGCTGACTGTATGTTTAATTATTTCTAATTGCAGTCATTTATGTTTTAAATAAAAGCATTATTACAGTTATCAATAATAGATAAACATGTTTTCATTATTTAGTTACCAACTTATTTGATTTATACAAGATCAATACTGTATTTTTATAAAATAAACAAAATGCCAACCACGTTGTCATCTCTAGATTGATAGTAGCAATTTCCCAAGTAAGAAATATCCAGATTATTTTAAAAGATCTTGTGGTAAAAGTTTTTGGTCAAAACAGATTTTTTTTTTATACATCAATAAAGACCACAGCCCATGATGTCAAAAATGCTGTAATAATCAGTAAATGAGACCTTCAATTAGCAAATACCACCATTAATCAATTTGTTGCTCTAGATGTATATAATGAGACAGGTCAATCAGTTTAAATTAGCAATAAATTATTTTTGGAACTTTTAAGTAATGAATTACTGGCGAGCGAGGCATGTTATGATGCGTGGCGGTGAAAGCCGCAAGGAAGATGTCACGCTGATGTCGC